CTACTTGTGTGGTGCACATGGCCAGGCACCACCTCCCAGCTGGGGTCCTCGACAGGGTGGGTTTGAACACTCATCACATACCAGCGTTACCAGAGCTGCCTCCCTAAAGGAGGCGGGAAAGGGGCCTGGGCCAGATGGGATGAGGACACCACACTTTCTTGAACTCTCCTAGGCCCCGCACCCCACCCATCACATCTTCAAAGGTTTTAGCACTTCCTGTGGTCCCCATAGCACTTTGGATGAGACCCACAGTTCGTGTTGCTCAGAGCTTGCATGCCAGGCCGCCTTCACTTGCCGACTTCATTCCTGACCTGACTCTGCTCCAGACACACAGGATGTCTCACTGTCCCTGCCAAGCAAGCTCACCCCAGCGCCTTTGCACCTGCTAACCCCTTAGCTGGAACCACTCTCTCCTCCAGGAGCTGTGCTCCTGTCACAGGCCTGCTCTGTCCTTTGTCCAGGTCTTCCCTGGAAGGGTCCTCCGTGGAGTCACACTGACCTGCCTTATCTGAGGAGATGTCCGCCGTCCCCCTCCCCAGCTACTGTAGCTTCCTGACACACATCTTCACGTGACATTGCACCGTCACCCTGGGCCTGGCTTATTGGTAAAGCACAGTGGCCCTAAGACTTGAGGTTTTTATGCTTTTAGAGGCCCACACAAATATTGTCATACATTTTACAAATCAGAAGAAAAGAAGCAGATAGTCTAGTCCGGTTTGCAGTCATCTTCTCACCAACATGGTCATCAACAGAATTTTATTTTTTTGTGGAGGGGCCCCATAGGCCCAGTGTGGCACTGCTTACTGTTTGTTTGCTGGGTACCCCTGTTGTGAGCCTCCTGAGCACAGATGCTTTGCTTATTCTCCCCCACCCCACCATCCACTGCCCACACAGTACCTGGCACCTGCCATGCACTGGGGGTTGGCAGAAGAGCAATGATCCCAAGCAGAAGCGGCTTGTGCTCCTATTCGGGACTTGCTCAGTTGTGGGGGGCATCTGGCCTATGGCCTCTGCACTGCCACCTGGCCACTTGGAGAGTGGTACCAGCAAGGCTGGGAAGCGGGGGGACTGGGGTGAGAACAGGGCATCGAGAGAGTGACATGAAACTTCACTTCAGCAGGTGGCTTGTCCATCCTAGCTCCTAGGCCCTGTGGATTCCCCCCTTTCCCAGAGAAAGGGTCTTTGTAGGTGTGATAAGTAAAGGATCATGAGATAAGATCAACCTGGATTATCTGGTGGACCCTCAAAAACAGTGTCCTTATCAGAGTCACAGGCAAAGGCCACATGAAGACATTGGCAGATTTGGCCACAAGCCAAGGGACACCTGGGCGAGGCAGGAAGGAGCCTCTCCTAGAGCCTTCAGAAGGAGGGGCCCCGTGGACACCTTGATTTTGGGCATCTGGCTCCAGATCTGTGAGAATCAATTCTGTTATTCTAAGCCACCAGTGCGTAGAAATTTGCTATGGTCCCAGGCAAAGCATACACTCACCAAAGAGCTGATGAGGAAGGACTCCAAACACCCACTCCCCGATGGCCCCTGCCAACTGTCCCAGCCCCAACAGTGTCCACACGCTGCTCACTGGCAGGCAGGACAGAGGGCCATCAGCCATGGGGAAACTACAGGGTCAAGGTCATGCCACAGGCGAAGGCCCTAGAGCAGTTTGGAAGTGGAAGGGAGGTCCAACCCCTGAGCACAGAGCTAGGAACTCAGCCTGGATCTGGGGGTTGACACAGGGGGTTGGGGAAGGACACCTGGGGGTCAGAGTTGGGGGCCAGGGATCCTCACATTTTCCAGCCAGCCCTAGGAGATTCCAGCTCAAGGGATGGAGCCCAGGTTTCCAGCAATCATCAGCTCTTTGTGCCTGACAGTGAGCCACACTGGACAGAGAGGCAAGGAGAAAAGACTCCAAGGTCCAAGGGGGCAGGGAAGGGGGAAACCAGGAGAGGGGAAAGGGAAGGAAAAGACAGAGCAAGTGACCGCACTCAGCCACCAACATGCCCACAGGGCTCGCCCAGAGCCGCATCCTCTGCTACAAGGGGCTACACGGAGAAGAAGAAAGCCCATTCTTCTCCGTGTAGCCCCTTACGTCCCTCTCTGACAGGTACATGGACCCTACTATTTAAAAAATGGCCACTGGCCCTCATGCATTTGTGGGACACGACAGGGCATGATGGAGACTGTGGCTGCCAGGTGGCAGCTCTGTCACTTGTTCAAGAGAAGCCAGTTTCGGGATTTTTTTTTCCACTTCCATCTTCTGACGTTCAAAAACATGTTGGTGATGAATTCATGTTTTTAAAAAAATGTGTAAACACCACACAGGGGAAGCAAGACATGGCTGTGTGGCCACATCTGGACCTCTGGTTTGTGGCTCTGGTCTTTGGCCTGGAAAGCAGAACAAAAGCTAAATTGTGCATCAGGACAATGACAAGAGGGGTGTGGAACGTACAGGGGCTGGAAATTGTTAGGAGCGGCCACTGGCCTGAGTCAGCTGGGGAAGAATGAGCAGCCTGTCCAAGCACCGGCTGGGATTCTAACAGCACCCATCAGGTGACCTTAAGTGCATCCTTCAAACGGAACAGGAGCCCCAAGGAGGGCCGCTCCATGTACACTGGCACCCTAGAGCCTCCCCCAAGCCCACGGAGGCCGTTCGCCTCCAGAGCCAGGCTCCAGCGGCAGCCCCCAAACTGCCCAGGGGATGGGTACTGAACACCCCAGCCCCAGGGCCAGCGCTGCTTTCAAGTTTTGGAGTTTTGGGTGTACACCTCCCCGTTTTCCTCTCTTGTGCCTCTATTTTATTGGGATGACTAAATCTTTCAACTATGTTTGCCATAAACACAGTTAATTTACCCCTGCCTCTTTGAAGCAGCTGCTGACAGCTGCGCTGTAATTCAATCAAGGATCTTTGCAGTCAAGCCTACCAAACTCACATTTGTTGTTTGGTTCCATCCCCTCGGCTTGGAGCCACACACAGCTGCACCAAATATTGACGAGTGTTCACTTCGACCCAGACCTGGATGATAAAGGGCATGTTAATGGTGGCGGCCAGAGCAGAGTTCTCTGTGCACTGAGAAACTCCAGGGTCCAGGGTAGAGAGAATAAAAAAACAACACACAGAGGCCCAAGAACCAGAACCAAATGTTTCCTTTTTATTGCAAGGTCAAAACCCTTTTTATTTTGTCTATTTATACAGAATTTTCACTAAGGACCACTTTTTTCGACAGCCATGGGTACATTGGTCCAACCGTTAATAAATAGTCTTAAATAAGAAAACAAACAGGTTGTAAGAGGGTGAACTCATTGTCCCCAACAAGGATGAACGGAGTGTTTCAAAAAGAGCTTCAGATGGAAATAAATAATCTCTTTGTCTTGTCACAACTATTTACATGTTTAAATGTACAAATGATGCTAACCATAGGCTGTAGGCAGTGAGCCGTGAGCAACTTGCACCAGGAAGGGGTGCCAACACACAAAACAAATTAGAACCAAAAAATACTCCTCCCTGATGATCAGGCAGGGTGAAGCCTGCAGCCCAAGCTGCTGAAGTAGAAAAATTAAAAGAGAAAAAAAAAAGCAGAGGCCCAGTGTTTCCAGGAACCAACCCAGCAGAGATGGAGAAGAGTTCCCCAGTGGGCTGGACTCAGCAGGGCCATAAGTCTTGCCTGGACAACCTGGTTCTTTGTATGGATTCACTCGCAGACAGCCCAACTCTCTCCAAGGCCTTGTGTTGTCAACTGGAAGCTGATGCAACCCAGTTATGGGACCCACTGGCCAAGGCAAGCAGGACTTGCAATAAGAGCTGTGTCAGAAATGCTACCTCCAAGTCAGAATATGTGGTTAGGAGGGTCACCCTCTAGATCCTTCTGCTTGCAACATGAGTCCAGCACAGTGGCACTCATGAGACTTCTCCCTCCACGCTGCTCTCCCTCACTTTAAGGGGCTGGTTCATTTGTTTGCAGGGCCCTCTAGGGGGGGTCAGCAAGCAAGGAGAGGCAGCCATGATGCCCCAGCCAAGAGAAGCCACGGACAGGAACCCACAGGGAGGAGGCCAGTGTCCTGCTCTCCTGCACCCACAGGGACTAGACTTCCTCCGTTGAGAGTCCTACCCCACTTGCTGGCCTATTCACTCTGTCCAGTTCCCTACTGTGTGAGGCGAGAGCTGGAAAACTCGTTCCAACATCTGCCTGTCTTTCACACTGTGCCTGTCTTGACTTCTGCCCTGCTTACTGAGCAGGACACATTTCTCCTTCTGGACCAATACTCTCCTTCTCCGAGGAGACACCCGTTCTCTCTCCAAGAAACTGGGCCCAGCCACGGCCACTGGCTGGGCAGTCCCTCCATACCACCTTGGCATGGAGGTTTCTGCGTCTTGGATTGGGCAGATCTGCATAAGCACAGGCCCTGGAGCCTAAAATCGAAACTGAATGGAAGGAGGGGGGCTAGTCACACTCCACTGCCCAGCCATGGCTTCTGTTTATGAAATCAGAGTAAACCAAGAAACAGGGATAAACTGTTTACGAAAATATATCTGTAACATCCTAACTATTTTCATTGATTGGTTTTATTGTGACATTTATTACAGGATCTTCTGCTCAGTTTCCCTTCAGCACAGACACGATATGCCACCCCCTGGCCATGCCCTACCTCCCTGCTGGCCACTGTGGGTAGCCTGGCTGAACGGCAAGTGTAATCACCTCTGGAAGGAAGGAGCCAGGGTGGCACGAAGGGACTGCACAGGCAGTGGCCGTGCTAGGCCCGGTTTCCTGGCAGATGTGTCTCCGGCTGGGCTCTGCCTCTAGCAGCTTGTAGGATCTTGTCCATAGGATGTCACAGATGAGAAACTGAAGAAAGCCACTTGTGCTCAAATCTCTAACACTCTCACACCTTTTGAGTTGGGGATGGAATGGGGGGGGCTCATGAGAGGTGGTTGTTCTGCTGGTTCCTTGCTGAGGCAGGCAGTGGGAGATACTGGGCAGTGAGACACCTCAGATCTGGAAGAACAGGGCCCAAAAGGTTGGAGTCCCAGGAGAGGCTAGTGGCAGCCACAGGCCCGGACTACCATGTTTCTGTACTTCTTCAGGATGACATTGGAACTGTCGTCGAAGTAGAGAACAGAGATGGCGTTGAGCTGGGTGGGTGCACAGCATGGCTTGGGTACTGTCTCCGGGTTGATAAAATGGACCTACAGCAGAACAAACAGGAACCTTGGTGAACGGCCTCCGATTTGTCTAAGGGACATCTTCCGCCTGGGCCAAGTGGCCGTAAGTGACTGTTACCATGCACCCCTGTTCTAAGCGCAGTCCAGGTCCTAACTCAGTTCTGGACTTGTCCCACTGTGCAGGCAGGAGGACGAATTCCATGGAGTTTTCACAGCGCCCAGCTACTGTAGGAGCAGCAAAATTAGTGGCCTGCGAATTCTTAAGTCACAGGGCTGTGCGGCACACCGGACAGAGCGTGGCCTCCTTCTGTCCCTCCCTCCCCTCTGGCCACTAACAGTTTGGGCTCTTTCTTGCCCATGGGCACCTGGGCAGCATGGGGCAGGAGCAAGCAAACTCAGAGGCCTGGCAGGCTTCATGATTGTCACTCACAAGCCAAGTAGGCCAGGGAGAAACAGCAGGCGCTGTGGGGACTAAGGCAAATTGCATTACACAGTCCAAAGTGACCACAGCCCAGCTGGCCACAACCACTGTCATCAGGTGCGCCAAGGCTCAGGACAGGCTAGAGGTCAGCTGTTCTGTTTTATTTTTAGTGGTAACTTCTGGACTTTCTGAATAAGGGGTATAACAAGCAGACATGCCAACGCCTGGTCTGCTGTTCACAGCCTCCTGGCTGTGATCTGGGGCACGGCTTCTTCCATCTTGTGTGATAGGCAACATCACCCCCTACATCCTGACACGGCTGACCCTTCCCTACCTGCTCCACCTTGAGAAATCTCAAAGCAGAGCCAGTTAGTTTCCTCTGTATGTCCCACCAGGACTTCCTGGAGGACCCTGAGTTGTCCTCTTAAACATCCTTTCACCATAACTGGAAAATTTTTTTTGATCCTAAACTCTCTGGTGAAATGCTGATTGAAGAAGGGACTCACCAGGCAACTGTGAGTCTGACCCAGCCACGAAGGCAGGGATAGAGGACAGGGATGTGGTCCCCAGATTTGCCCTTCCCTCCAAAGGGCAGAGCCTGAACCCGACGTAAGGGACAGATGAGCCTTTTCTCTTAACACACGAGGCAGGGCAAAGGAGGAAGGAAGCAGATGGCCGAATGGCAGTGAAAAGCTCTGTCAGCAGCAAACTGCTGGACAGAGGGGTGGACAGTGGTATGAGCTTTTGCTGTCACCAGAGCATTCAGACAGGATGCATGATCAGCTGTGGGAAAGGCCCAGATAACATGCATGACAGGGACAAGACAGCCTCGAATCTGGGATTCTAAGCTAAAGAACACAGTCCCCTACTCGTCACTACTATTGTTGGGAGAGTAGCAAAAAAGGCATCTCCCCAGTGTGTTTGTGTGCTGGCCCTGAGTGACAAGCTTCTGTTTCACTGGAATCTTCTCAGAGACTCCACAGAAGCTCGTCTTAGCACCTTCTTCATCTGAAACTTCCTTGTTTACTAGTCTGACTTCTCTGATGGAAAACAAACCCTCTAGGCCAGGGACACATCAGTGCTGCGCCCGGCAGAGTGTCCAGTCCCTGGCAGAGTCTACATGCAGGAGACACTCAGGAGACACAGACCTCTGCAGGGCTGAATGCTGAAGTCCAAAGCTGAGAGAGGAAGCCCAGAGCTCTGCGGGGCCATGGCTCTGACAGCTATGAAAGCACTGTCCAGTGAAACGCCAGACACCGGGAGAGGGCAGGAAGCAGCAAACAAATCCATCTCAGCTAGTGCCCAAGAGCATGGTCCCCAGCCCAGGGCCCATTCTCAGATAGACACCATGACTAGCACCCATTATTCCTTTAGGAGCCCACACAACTGTTTCACTTTCCAAATTCAAGGAAATAACAGAATTTTAGGGCTTATGACTATATTCATCTTTATACCAATGTGGTCATAAAACATAAATTTTTTTAGATCATTTATGGTGCAGGGGGCCCATGAAAGTCACAATGTGGCCTTGGGCAGCGGAGGCAAGACCCAGTGACCTGCAGGCTGAATTCCCCACTGCCTGAACCCCTGGACAGTGGGCAGCACCCACCAGTGTCTGTACGATGGCATGGTTGGTGGCGTTCATGTAGGAGTTCAGCGGGAAGGCACACTCCCCCTCGCAGTAGTAGGCAGCGTAGCCCTCAGGTGCAATGATCCAGTCCTGTTTAGAGAGGAGAGCTTGGGGAGCAGTCCAGACACTTCAAAAACCATGCACAGTGCCTGTGGTCAAGTCCCATGTCCCTCTGCCCCCCCGCCCCCCATGGCCACCCTCTTCCAGAGGGCAGAGGTGCAGGACTAGCCCTCCTGGGCAATGGGGTACAGCAGAGGAAGAAATGATCCCAGACTTTTATGGTCCCAGCAGAACAAAATCTGAGGGAAAGATGTCACAGGCTTGGCTGAACCCAGAATGACACATCTGTGGCTTTTATCTCCTAGATGGGAGGTGGCATATTAGAGGGGTTCTCAGTGCCACAGAGACCCAACCTAGAACCAGTTCTGCCCCTCCAAGGCCATGACACACACTGCAGCTTGCTTTGATCCAAACCTCTGTGCCTGCGTGCACCTACCTGTAAGAGGCCAGTGACCTGCCATGTCTTGAGTGACAGTTCTGGACACGCTTGCACCATTCAATAAGCCATACATGTGACAGGCTGGTTTCTAGGGCCTCTGGCACAGAAGTGCTGTTCAGCCAGCTGAACCACACCCCTCACTGATTCTCAGAGGCATGGGGTCTCCTAGCAGAGGCCCTGGAGTCTGGGTTCTGCTCCAGCACCAGCATGCAGGTGCTGTCTGGCACCCTTGGAGCATGGGTGGTCATGAGTCCTGAGGACAGCCAGGCCGGCTGCATGCACTCATGCACTGTGGGTATTGGGCCTGATCCCCATGGAGGAATCTGGACTCTCCAACTGGACACCTCCATTGAGTCCCCCCACACGCTGGGCTCTCTCATTGGATTCACCCACTGAACTCCCCCATTGGACTATCCCATTGGAGTTTCCCATTGAACTCTCCCACTGGACTCTCCCACTGGACTCCCCCATTGGACTATCCCATTGGAGTTTCCCATTGAACTCTCCCACTGGACTCTCCCACTGGACTCCCCCATTGGACTATCCCATTGGAGTTTCCCATTGAACTCTCCCATTGGACTCTCCCACTGGACTCCCCCATTGGACTATCCCATTGGAGTTTCCCATTGAACTCTCCCATTGGACTCTCCCACTGGACTCCCCCACTGGACTCCCCCATTGGACCCTCCCACTGAACTCTCCCACTGGACTCCCCCATTGGACTCTGAGGGCAGAATACCGCCACCAGGAGGTGTCCAGTGATCTTATGGCAGTGCCCTTCCACAGACATCTGAGCTCCACAGGGCAGACACATCCTCACGTTCACTGCTGCATCTTGAGCACCCACAAAAGGGCCCAGAAGGCTGTGGATGCTGAAGAGCAGCTGCAGGGTGGGGGTAAATCAGGACTGGCAGGAGACTCTTGTCAGGCTGCAGGACCCTAGCTCCTCCTCTCAGATTTGCCCCTTGCCCTTCGCCCCACTCATCTAAATGGCTCTAGAGGGAAAAGCCATGTTCCCATTATGTGATCCCATCCTGAAAACAGCTGATTGGCTCCAGGACAAGTGCCTGACTGAGCTCTGGGCTGATGTGTGGCTCCCCTGGGAATCTGAGCCATGGGAGGGAGAAAAGGAACAGTCAGGACAGAGGGTGGTTGGTTGTCCAGGAAGCTGGATCCATTCCAGCAGGTGGCACAGCCTCATGTAAGGGAAGAGGCGGTCACAGGGTGGGAACGAGGTATATGTGGAAGATGAGGTTCCTGGTTCTAGCCCGAGTGTCAATCCCATTGCTGCTCTTAGGTTTCATGGGACTCCCCCATACCCTTAGCCCTAGTCCTCCCTTGCCGGGCCACCTGGCATCTTGGGTCTCACTGGCAAAGATGAGAATCATGACCTACTGCACCCATGGAGACAGAGCCACTACCAGGGAGAGCCCCGGCGAGCAGCACACCTCACCCTTACCTGCCAGCCCAGGTCACGGAAGCTGACGTACAGTTCGTGCTTCTTACACGCCTGCCTCTGGTCACTGCTGCTGTTCTCTGTGTTGACAGGAGGTGAAGGAGCAGAACCCAGGGGGGAAGAGAAACATGCAAAGGCTGCAGGGTGGATCTCCTGACACAAAAGCCCATTCGAGGATCTGAAGCCTGAAAATCCACCTCTACTCCCAACAGACGCCTGGCAGGGGAGGTGCGGACACCCTGCCCCACTCGCCTGCTGTCTGAGCTCAGAGCACTTCGCAGACAATGGTTTCCTTCACACACGAGTCTAAATGCTGACACGTGCCTGGATTCCATGAGGGAATCCACTCCCATCCCATCCTCTTCCCCTTCTCACTGCTGAGGGATCTCAGCCCACCCTGTGATGCTCCTCCACCTGCAGGGGGAAGGGATACATAGACAGGACCTGGGACAGAGCCTCTCACCTCCACCACCAGGAAGAAACCAGGGGGCAACAGGGTAAAACTCCCAACCTTGCAGATCCGCACTGCTGAGGTTTTTAAGGAACACAGTGACACGTGGTGTTTTCAGATGTTTGAAGGCATTGGGTGAGGGTTTGCAAATGCTGCAAGATGTCCCATCTCACGTACACATGCTCCACCATCTTCCCTCCACCCTGCACCTGGAGGGACTGACTTCCTCCTGACGATGACCTATCTTTGTTCTGTCATACTCAGAGTAATGTCCTGCCCTTGCCCATAGGTCCTGTGTGGCTCTGACTCCTAAATACTAAATCCCAGTGGCACCAGCCTTCTTTCTGTGTTACAAAGATGTGCCAAGCTCATTTCCACTATAGTCCTTTGCACTGGGTTTCCCATACATGCTACACTCCTTCCTATCATCTCTATGTACCTGGCTCCCACTTTACAATCTAGCCTTGGATCCAATGCCAACTTCTTGAAAAGAACTTGTGAAGTCACTGCTGTGAGAGTCAAAGCCTACTCTCCACCAACATTTGTTTAATGAACATTCAGGACTCGGGGGTCAGTGCCTTGGCTTCTGTCTACTTGCCTATGTGCTCTCCAGGCCTGAGAATCCCAGGAAGGGATAAAGACAGTGGGTGAGGTGACCAGGGACAACTCACAGAATGGAGAGAGAAGGCCCAGAAGATGAACTTGGTCTTGCTGGGTCACCTGCCCTATATGATCAGGAAGCTGCACATGCAGCTGCCCCCTGTTCCCGTCCTACACCCATGGGCCTAATGTGGCCCACCTGGTAGATTTTGGCCAGGTCCCTCATGACAACTGCACTCTTTCCCAGTGGCTAGTTTGGAGACCCAGCCTGAGCTGTCAGCACACATTCTATCCCCAGAGGCAGGAACTGGTTCAGGGAAGGGGAGGTGAACTAGTTCAAACCAGGGGACACAGGGGCTTCTGGAAAGAGTTCCCCACTTCCTAAGAAAGACTCATGGGAAGACTCTAATCCTCTTCCTCCCATTGCCTGGCAACAAAATAATGAAGCCTCTATGGCTCCAAGTGTCCATAGTCTTGAGATGAAATGACATCGACAAGCTTCTGGCAGGTAACATCTGCCTTCCATTGCTTCTGTGGGCCAACAATGTCCCATTGGCTGGAGATCCCTGGACAGAAAGCTTGTCCCAGCTTGCCCATTCTCCCAGAAGCTCATCCCAGTGTACGGAGTGGTGGACTAGAGACTAAGGTAGATCCTGGAGGGGACCCCAGAACACAGTGATCCTGTGGGTGTTATCTGACCAGAGAGCTAGGACCACTGAAGGGGCCGCCCTAGTCTTGGAGGCCAGGCTGGGTCCCCCAGCACTCAGCTCCTGGTCTGCACAGTGGAGAGATCCCTTCGCCCAGGTGTCTGAGCAAATCACTTCTCAGCCTTTTGGCTAAGATCAAGTGTCGGTGTCTGAGTGTTCAGAATAGTCCAGTCACACCACAAGGGGTGACTTACCATCCTTGGGCAACCTGTGCAAGAAACTTGAGAATACACACACCCTTTAACCATTTGAATGTCATGACAGGCTCCTCCGAACTCAGACACCAGCAGGGTACCTGATGGAGAATGACATCCCCCTCAGTCTGCTCCCCCAGATTCACAGGAATTCTATTGTGTGACTTCTAGGTGAGTGAGAAATGGTACACTAACACGCAAAGGTCAACGGCACCATCAGAGAAGAGCCAGTGGCCCTGGACTACATGGTCCACCCTCTGGAACACATGGTCTTTGAGCACAGACCTGAAAATTTAAGACAGCATCCATCACTATAGCAAAGTCCAGCGGGTGCAGCGAACGCCGCCCACTCCAAATGCCTCCTTCTCCCTCTTCCCTGTGGGGAGCAGGATTACTCTCAGCCCAGGGGTGCTGGGGGTAAAGCCCTAGGCACGTTAGCTGGGTCAGGGACAAGCTCGGTATCCGAGCAAAGGATCCTGAAGGGACATGAGGGCTCAGTGAGAAGAAAGTGCCATGATTGAGTAGCAATGTCTGCCCTGAGCAGAGGGGCAAACAATGGCCTAAGTCACTTCCCTCACCCTGCCTTAGAGCCAAGCCATGGCATCTGGCTTAATGTTCAAACCTGAGTCCCAAGAGACCAAGGCTGAGAGCAGCTCATGGGGCTAGCTGTGGGGGGTGGACACAGGACCTGCACAGGGACCTCCACACTGGAACTGGATTTCCAGGCCTCTTGGGATCACGCCTGTCTTAGGAGAAAATGGTTAGTCTTCTGGGCATCACCAGGACCTCTTGCTAGCAAAAGAACAAGGGAAGGGAACAAAGGAGACACCTAGCTCTCCTGCCCCTCGGGTCCTGACCCACCTGCCCCATGTAGCAGAGGGCAAGTGAGCAGAGTCAGAGCCAGTGCCAGCCACCAGACAAGGTGCAGACACCTCTACAAGGCCCAGCCCAAGCAACCAACAAGTTTGGACCAGTGCTCAGACCTGGCTGCCTCCCCCGCAGGTCATCTGGTGAAGGTGGCCAATTACCAAGGCGTTGGGCCTCCAAAGGGGGCAAGAGACACAGATTCTCCACCCCGAGCCACACCATCTGAGGAGCAGTTGGAGCCTGGGGGAGAGGGGTGGCCTCACAAAAGCTTCATAGCATGGCATGCTGGAGCAAGTGTCCCCTGCCCGTCTGATACACAAAAGGCTGCGTGCGTGCAAGAGAGGACTCAACTTGTGTGGCCCTGCAGGATCCCCAGCCCAGCCTATCACGTGAGGTGAGCACTTCAAACGGCACAGAGCACACACCCACGCACACGCAGATTCCAGCTCGCTAAGCCCAGGGCACAGCCAGGGCCTGGTGTTTATTTTTCCCAATTAAACTTCCAGGCAGGGTTCAGAAGAACTTAGACCAAGGCCGGGGAGTTGAAATGCATGGGAAGGAGGCAGATCTCAAGCCAGGTAGAAGAGCTGCCATGTGAGACGGTGAGGCTGGTCCTGGGGTTGTGTAGGGGGTTTTGTCATGGGCCCTGTGAGGGCTGAAGAAGAACCCATGGCAGATCAGAGGTAAGGCTGGCGGGGTTTCCCCTTCCCCAGGACACTTGGTAGCCACAAGACACAGAGGCTCTGCTGGGATGGGGTTTGGCAGCACTTCCTGCTGGCTGGATTTGCAAAATCTGTGACAAGTCTCCAGACTCTGACCCATCCCTCGGAACACCCTGCCCACTCCCCACCTTTCTCAGAGCAGCCAGGATGACCTCACACCCACGCTGCACACCATGACCTGAAAGTGCAAAACTTCCACATTGTCCAGAGATGAATTTCAAACTCAAGATGTGGCTCCCAGGACATCTGTGACTCCTTGCCCCAGCCACCACAGCCTCACAGGTGCTATAAAACTTCCCAATATAGTCCTCTGTACCTGTGGGGCCTACAGCAGTGGGACTCTCACTCAGAGTTCTCAGCTCACTTCCCGTTGAAAGTCTTGTCTGCACCCCAAGAATAAGGTGTCCACAACCTCTCAATGAATTAGGTTCCCTATCACATCTCCCCCCCTGGGCCTGTCACTACAACAGATGAGAGTAATGACCATCTCAGCCCACCCTGAATAGCTCCTCAGGGTAGCCTGTGCCTCAGCTTTCACCACTGAACCCCAGCCCAGGAGCCCAGCATAGAGGAGGCACCCAGATATGAAGGGGTTCAGTTGGTTCCACCTGCCAGAAAAGAATCCATGCCATATCCCCATTCACACCACACACTCTGGAGCTGTGTAGACTACTTCCTCTGCATTGTGCAGAACAGCAGTTTTCAGACCATGCCAAGCCCTGACTACTCCATTTTATAAAGCAGCAGTTTGGACCTAAGCTACTCCATTTTGAGCATAAAGTGTCAAGGCAGAGTAACTCAACAGATTATTTATACCAATAAACAACTACTATCTGCCTGCACATCAGGAAACACAAACTGATATGATATATGCCGATGAATAACTATACCTGTGAATATATCAGATCATACCGGAAACACCAGACACATGAACTTATCAATCAGGACAGATTTAACCCTCCTCACCTGGGACTGTAAAGTAGGACACCCCAAGGCTGAGATGTGGCAGGCACACTGACCCATCACCCATCAGGAGCCTCATCCAGGAAAATTGCCACAGTGAAGGACCTCTGCCTCCGTCCCAAGCCTCCAGCTCAACAGTCTCTCCTGCCTGTGACACCCAGACCACTTCCAACTGACACTTAAATGGCCTGCCACCTGGAATTGCATTGGCAACTCTGCACCTTGAGCAGCTCCTCACCTGTAGTTAGCAAAACTCCTTATCTGCTCCCCTAAGAGACCTTCCTTGTGTCTGTGAAGCTCTGCCTGAGCCTTCAGCACAGCCCTCTGAACTCTGCGGCCTCTTTGACCCTTTCTCAGCCATTCTGTCCCCTACCTACACGTTACTGTGTGTGACGCAATGTGTGATCTGAGACTTGATATTATTAGGCAATGTGGTAATTAATATTATCTAATCTATTAGTGTAATGTATTACACCGATATATTAGTTAACTATATTCATTAATATCAGTTCACAAAAGTTAATATCTGTAATTAAGATTGGAATAAAAGGACTCATGATTTCACCTGGCCATGAATACCAAGTGAAATCAGGAGTACTTGCTAAGTAAGACCTGAGAAATGGGATATAGCTTATGAATTTATTGCTATTCACTGTGGAAAGACACAAATGTGTCCATCTATGTTTCTGACACAGCTTCCTCACAACACCACTGACATCTACCCTAGAACCCTGGAGGACACCCAGGGTTAGTCCCACTCTCAAAAGGCCACCCACCACAGCAGGCTGCCTTCTCCCTGGGAAAGTAAAACAAACATCAGTTTCAGAGTGAACTGGGGTGAGGCAGAAAAAGCTATGGGCAAAATGTTAGGTGAACGTGGGGTGGAGACTGCTGTATCAACCTCACCTGGATTTTCTGAACACTGAGCTTACTTGAGCGATTACTTGGACCACTTCCAGCCCAGGGGCCAGAGAGAGGGTGAATCACCTCAGAGCCCCTGTGCTGGATGGAGCTGGTTTATGCCCCAGAATGCTCACCACTTCATGGCCAGTGGAGCAGGAGGGCCCAGCTCTGGGAGAAGATGCTGGACCGACAAGAGAAGTCACTTCATAAGCAATGGTCTCCCCATGTCCCACTGCTGTGGCTACAAACCACCACCAACAGTGGCTCCAAACTGTACTTGTTTATCATCTTACAGCTCTCGGGATCAGAAATTCATCAGGTTTCACCAGATAAAGCCAAGCTATTGTGGGCCCCTTTCTTCTGGAGGCTCTGGGGAAGAGTCCATATCCTGCCTTTTCTGGCTTCTAGAGGCCACCTACCTTCCCTGCCTCACACCCCACCCATCTCCAAAGCTGGAGCACAGAACCCCTGTCCTCTGACCCTGTCTCTCCTGAAAGGACTCATGCGACTCAAAGGGTCATTCAGGATCATCTCCTTATTTTAAGGTCTGCTGATGGCAGCCATAATTCCATGGGCAACCTAAACCCCTTTGCCATAGGCTGGAGCATATTCAGGGTTCTGGAGATTAAGACATAAACGTCTTCCAGGGCCATTGCTCTGCTTAACACAGCAGCTTCCAGGACAGCCAAGGAAAGAGTGCCCCTCAGGTAGCAGGTCACCTGGCCAGGTGATGTGACTGGGGGTTTCTTCCAGCCACAGACAGGCCTCCTGGGATCAGGCTGGCCATCTATATAGTCCACTGGGAAATGCTTTGCTGGTGATGTGAGTTGACTTGAGCTTTCCTTTTAGGGTGGAGTCTGAGACATAGCTCTTATCAGCACAGGGAGCACTGCATGTTATAGGGAGCATGAGATGGTGGGTGGAGGCAGCTGGTCACAGACAGCCACTGTACTGGGAAGGCTGTTTTGGGCCTCCAGCCCCCAATCCTAGACCAAAATGCACCATCCCAGGATCCTAGCAATCAAGGCCACCAAGTACCCTCAATGTCTGACTCCCCAATTAACCAGTAGGAACTAGGACTGTGTCCACCCACAGTCCCAATGCTAGGACAAGGCCAGCCCTAGGTTAAGGGCTCAGCAAATGTGTGAATTGTCAAAAAACACCAACAGGATGGTTGGGGGCACCAAAACTAACCTAGGACAGGCAGACACTAGGCAATACTACATCAGGAAGTCTCCAGCCTAATGGACACACCAGCCTTCCAGGTTCAAATCCCAGGGCTGCCACTTGCTCACCCTATGCCCTTGGACAAGTTATTTAACCTCTCTGAGCTCTAGCTTTGTCCCTCTGCAAAGTGGGAAGCCACCTGTCTCGGAGCCTCAAGAAGTTGGTAACATCACATGCTAAAAGCTCTGTCCTGTCCTGTGGTGACAACCCAAAAGCTTTCATCCCTAGAAGTGTCCTCTGGGGATAGCTTTTCTCTAGTCCTTGTATGAATCTTTGAATTGCTTGCAATGAAAATGTTAACCTCGTTTTGTTTAGGTTTTTTTTTTTTTGTGGTACTGGGGCTTGAACTCAGAGCCTACACCTTGAGTCACTCCACCAGCCCTTTTTTTATGATGGGTTTTTTCAAGATAGGGTCTCATAAATACCTTGCCCTGCTGGTTTTGAACCATGATCCTCCTGACCTCTGCCTCCTGAGTAGCTAGGATTATAGGTGCAAGCCACTGGCACCTGGCTTAACCTTGATTTTTGATTTTTCCCTTATAGTAGTGAAACATTTCAAACAAACCCAAAAGTACCCCAAAGAATATACATATATTTTTAAAGACCTCTACCCATACTTTAAAAATACTCAAATTCAACATGAGTTTCACATCATTTTCGTTGTAGGAACAAAATAAAAGAGAAAACTATCTCCTCACATTTTCCCTACTCCCCTCTCCCACGGGTGACGTCCCCGGAAGTCATCCACACATTTTCATGGCTCTCCTTCACGTATGAGCAGGCTTAAGTGTAGCCATTGTTTTTGTCTATCTGGAAATTTACACGATTGGCATCGTGTTCTATGAGGGTTCTGCTATTTGCATTTCTAGATTAGCTGACGACTTTTATAGATGGGGATGCAAGCCCTGGGAAGGAAGGGATGTGGGGTTTGCCACAGCGTCTGCAAAGCAACTGGAACAGATTCCAAGTGGCTCCCTGCCCATGTCACACAGGGCTGTCTGGTTCCTTGGGCCCACCCCCTGCCCCTCCTGCCCCGGCGTACCTGCCACACTGGCCATCCTCAGTGCTTCCTGGTTCTTTGGCGTCTTGGAGCGGTTCTGGCTGCGCTGCTTGCTCCCCGTGGACCGGGTGCTGCGGAGGTGGACCTCTGTGGCCTTGAAGAAGGCCACCATGAAGGGCTGCTTGTTCTGGGGCCCGTGTCGCCCAATCAGGCCGGCCAGCTTAGGGTTGATGCTCTGCCCTAGACAGGAAGTAGCCAACGCACAGCGAGTGGGTAGGAGAAGGAGTGAGCCACTAAGGGCTGACAGATGTGATCGTATCTGTGCCTCACAACTCGCCCGTGCATTCACTACGCCTCCATCCACAAGTACTGACTGAGCATGGGCTCTGCACCCAGAACTGCTTTAGGAACTCGAAACACGGCTGTGAACAAAATTTAAAAGGCCAGGTCCTGAGAGCACAGAAGCATTTGCCTGAACTCTTCACCAAGTAGATCAGTGTCCCCTGAAATTCATGCCCACCCAGAACTTTGGATGGGTCTTTGCAGGTCTAATTCGTTAAGAAATGGCCATACTAGATGAGGGGCTTAAGCCAATGGCTGGTGGCTTCACAATGGATGTGTAAAGACACAGAGACAGACACAAGGAAAGAAGATGGAGGCCAAGAAAGACCATAGATGCCAGGAGCCACTGATGCTGGAGGAGGCCAGTCAGGGCCTTCCCCGGGCCTTCGGAAGGAGACAGCCTGCTGACTGGGTTTGGGACTTCCATCTCCAGATGGGAGTAGAGCCCTGCTATTATGACTGGTGGCACTTTATTTCAGCAGGATGCAGGAGCCATGTGGTGGCAATTTCAGTGTCTATAAAGACCCCCCAGGCTGCCCCTGGAGCCTGGACTGTGGGGCCAAAGGCAGAAGCAGGAGCCAGGCAGAAGTGGCCCTGAACAGCCCAGATGAGGTGACAGGGGCCAGGCTGGGCAGTGGGAATGAGGTTGATAAGAAATGGTCAGATCCTCTATGTTAGCATTTTAAGCCCACATTTGGAATTTATTTTGGTTATCACTTTCTGTTGTGAAATAAGCAGAGACACACAGGAAAGTGAAGAAATGCGGGGAAGGTCTCACGTACCCTCATCCTGTCTCCCCAAGGTAACATCCTAGACAGCCGGGTTAAGATGTCCGCAACTGGAAGATGCAGCCTTCGCATGTGTTAAAAAGAAACTGATGGAACTTTCTGAGAGACTGAAAAGCATGTGAGAACAAGGGCAGTCCCGTGACACTTGCACACGCTTGGCCTGAGCCCCTAGGAAAAGGGAGGGACCACTTACCAAGGTGGGAAAACTGAGGCAGGGCTGGGGAATGGAGCATGGGAGACGAAATGCAGTTTTGGATTTAATGCGTGTTGCCTCAAAGCCCTACTTGGTGCCCAAGGGACACAGTTAGCGGACAGTAGAAGGTCCTGGCTGGGGCCTGGTAAGCAAGGGACCGGGGCTTAGATGGGCTTTCTGGCCCCATTCCTACCTCCTCAACTAGTGCTCATGTGAGGCTCCGAGCAGAGGTCACAAATACTAGCTCAGGGCATGGCAGGGCCAATGACACAGCTGGGTCCTTGGCATGAAGAAGCCGGGAGACAAGACAAGCTCACCAGGGGACAGCAAGTGGTGACTGATCCAGGTGCTCTCCCTCTTCTACAGAGGGGCCAGGTTTGCAGCAAAGACTGTGGGAATACCTAGTAGAGAAGGGTCTGAGAAGCTTAGAGAGGATGAGGGGAGATGCTGAAGGACCTGGGGTCCCAGAAACCAGAGGACAGTGAATGGGTTGATCCTTGTGAGCTCGGCTCTACCAGTGGTCTCAGATGTGGACTCAGAAAGGACTCTCTCCCTATGGCTCTGACAATGATGAGGTTGTTGGAAGTATGCAAATTTAATACCACGTCTGGTAGTGAGTGCTCCAAAGGTGCAGGCAAACATCAAATGGAGACAAAGCCTATTTGCACATGACAAAGAAAGCCCAGAGAGGCTCAGTGACCTGCCCAAGACACCCAGGTTGGAAGCTATGATGCAGAACTTGAACCCAGGTCAGACTGACTGAGAGCCAGGGTATTTACCCACTGCAGCAAGGGGTGAGAGGGAATGAGGTCAGCAAAAGTGCTGGTTCTGGAGGTCCCAGGCCCGCCCACATCTGGAATTAACTTCACCTTGGATCCCCCCATACTGGCCAGAAGTCAAGAAACCCAGCTTTCCTAGACCGGCTCGGTACCAGGGGGTTCACTTTGGCTTTGTTTAAGAGAACAAACTTCCCCCACCTGCCATGATTTTACCGTCCCCCCTCTTAACGTCCGGCTCGCCTGCATTCTTGAGCAGGGTTTCCCCGAGTTCATCCATCTATAATGTGAAAGATTCTATAAAAGAAACCATTAAGCTGAGCCCCTAGGAATTGTGTTTCCCCCCTGGAAGGCTTTTAGGGCAAAATAAAAATGCCTGGCCTGAAAACCTGATGCTGTTCCAGACACCTTAATCCAAGCTCTGGGAACAGCCTCTGCATGGTTGTGTGAGGGCCTGGCTGTCAGCACAGCCATGTCCAGGACCTCTGGCCTCCCTGAAAAATGGTGGCACAGAGGAGGAAGAGAGATTGTGGGAGCTGAAACTCATGGCCACTCTGAGCTGCCTGTGGGGGCCCAGAGGTGAAGATGTGTATGGGGCCTCAACTTCCTTACATGCAAAGTGAGGGTATCACTAGCCTAGTCACCCTTTTTCCTTTTCATTTAGGTAGCTGTTACTTGAGCTGACTTCACTCTGGTCTCAGGTGAGACCTGAGGTTTAACAAAAATTACCTACTTTCTTAGTATAGTCAAGGTTCAAGGATGAGTACATGACCCAATTTAGTCAGTGAGTGGAGGAGAGATGTCTGGGAGTTTATAGAAAAAAGAAACTTGCCACTCTAGCACCCACAAGCAACCTTCTCTCTCTAGACAGAACTGAGGGAGAAGGATGGAGCTCCAGAATCAGCCACCAGTTAGCGACCACAGACAGACTTGTTTCCAACAAGGCTGATGGCAGGAGGAGCAACAGCAGAGATGGGGACTTGGCACCAGGGCTAAGTTGAAGACTGAGCTAGCCCCAACTGTGGAGGGGAAGACCCTCTCCTCTGTTCCGTCTAAGCTGGTGTCTGCGGTGTGCCCGTCCCTCTCTCAAAGGCTGCAGACAGAAGTGGGTACAAGCTGTCTTGGGCCTGGCATGGAGCAGACCTCAGATGATGGACTGATTCTGCCTCTTTGGTATTCCATCTGGGAAAAGACTCAGGTTTTTAGGTTTTCTACCTAAAGGCCGAAAGACATCACAGCAGGCATTTGTTCACCTTAGACAGAAAACGGATACAGAAGAGGGGTTGGCGCATCCTCAGAGGTCACGTGCACAGTTATTGTGTGAGCAACGCCTTTGCTTCTAGAACGAGAAGCCCACGAAGGCTGATAACGGGTTCACACGACACAGCTCGGTGAGCTCGTGAGCTATCACAGCAGTATTATGGGTAACACCCAAGAGTGGGACCAAGCGCCAAGTCCACGAGCTGGATGTGAATGAGGGATGGCTGGGGCACGGGAGGAGGGCGGGAGCCCTGAGAATCTGGCTGGATGACTGTGGGGGGCGGTCTTTGGCATTGCCATGGGGTACCATCCTTGGCCTCACCCCCACTACTGCCAATAACACCCCCAGTTATGACAATCAAAAATGTCTCCAGGCATTGCCACATGTCCCCTGGGAAGCAAAATGCCCTGGTGGAGAGCCACAGCTATCCCAGACACTTACCTACAAGTCTTCAAACTGAGTAACTGCACACTACTAACTAAAACCGATACAGTGTAACATCACAACCAGCTGTTATGTATATAGGTAAAATCTGCTTGTTTGCTTATTTATTTTGAGATAGGGTTTCACTATGTAGCCCAGGTTGGCCTGGAACTCTTTATCCTCCTGCTTCAGCATCCTGACTGCCAGGATTACAGGCATGTACCATCATACCCAGCTCTGTTTTTGTTTTAATGCTGTGGGAAAGGATCAAGAAAAGTTATTGTAGGGGAGGATTTTTTCATTTTGTGATGTTACAATGTATCAGTCTTAATTAGCAAGTGTAATTTTTTTTATTATCTGTATTCAAATGTCCAGCAAGAGCCGGGTATGGTGGCATAGGTCTGTAATCCCAGCACTCAGGAGGCAGAAGCAGGAGGATCTTGAGTTCCAAGCCAGGCTGGGTTACATAGCAAGCCCCTGTCTCAAAAAAACCTAAGTATTTTAAACTATAAAATCTGTCTTTGGGAAAGATCTCTATTTTAACCGGAGGTTAATATGATGGTTTTAAAGCCAGCTGATTTGCCCAAGAATAACCAGATTTTGCAAATAAAAAACAAGACATCCTCTCAAACCTGAATTTCAGATAAATCCCATTTGCAACATCTGAAGCCGTTTAAGCTGAGTGATCACTTCTTGTCAGTCAAGTTTAACTGGGCGTCTTATATTTTATCTGTGATTCCTTAAGGTTGGGATAGGAAGCTTTTCTGGGTGGGTGATAATAACCTAGCACTCTGCAGATGGCAGCAAACAGGACAGGGGAATCTGGCCCCTGATGGGCAGGTGGATGGGCCAGGGGTGTCACCATCCTTCCCAGTCTCTTCTTTGCTGGGACTCATGCTTGCCTTCCTGAAGGATGCTTCCTTTTGGTTTTGCTGCTTTGTAAAGTCTTCATTTTTAAAGTAGGAAAGAGTAAAAGTGACCTCTATTTTCTGGATTGCAAATCTGCATGTCTTAGCACATGTGCAGACGTGTGCGGTGACACCTCAGTTGGGACACATAGCACCCCCCTTTCTTCTTGCTGCCTCTTGTTTCATGGTTCTCACCAGGATGCTGCTGCTCCTGGGGGACATGTGGCAACAACTGTGTCATCACAGCTGGCGAGATGTCACAGGCATCACCTGGTAGAGGTCCCAGAAGCTGCCAGGCATCCTAGAGTATGCAGTCCCATAGGTCAGCTCGGCCACCACTGTCACACCCTCTGTGGTTCCTAGCCATAGCTGAATGCTCATCTGTGGCCTCCCTGTAGCTGTGTGTTTTCTAGGATGTCACATGATTGGATTCCTCCAGTCTTTCACAAGCTGAATGGCTCTGAGGTTCATCCACAGAGTCCCGTGTTTCGCTGCTGAGTGGTGTTCTACAGGACACGTGTTTGCTTTTCTGGTCCCCTGTAAGGTCTC